GTGCCGGGTCCTGCACTTTGGCCACAACAACCCCCTGCAGCGCTACAGGCTGGGCACAGAGTGGCTGGAGAGCAGCCAGGCAGAAAGGGATCTGGGGGTGCTGATTGACAGGAGGCTGAACATGAGCCAGCAGTGTGCCCAGGTGGCCAAGAAGGCCAATGGCATCCTGGCCTGCATCAAGAACAGTGTAGTCAGCAGGAGCAGGGCAGTGATCCTTCCCCTGTACTCTGCGTTGGTGAGGCCACACCTTGAGTATTGTGTTCAGCTCTGGGCCCCTCAGTTGAGGAAGGATATTAAGATGCTGGAGCGGGTCCAGAGAAGAACAACGAGGCTGGTGAAGGGACTTGAGCACAAGTCCTATGAGGAGAGGCTGAGGGAACTGGGGTTGTTTAGTCTGGAGAAGAGGAGGCTTAGAGGTGACCTCATCACTCTCTTCAACTACCTGAAGGGAGGTTATAGCCAGGTGGGGGGTTGGTCTCTTCTCCCAGGCAACCAACAACAGGACAAGGGGACATGGGCTCAAGCTCTGCCAGGGGAGGTTTAGGTTAGATGTTAGGAAGAAATTCTTTACGGAGAGGGTAATCAGGCATTGGAACGGCCTACCCAGAGAGGTGGTGGATTCACCATCCCTGGAGGTTTTTAAAAAGAGATTGGATGTGACCCTTAGTGCCATGCTATAGTAATTGGAGTTGGATCAGGGGTTGGACTTGATGATCTTGGAGGTCTTTTCCAACCCAATCTATTCTATGATTCTGTGATTCTAAACAGTCTCTTCCTTGCCCTTTATAGCCCAAATTAGTCTACAGCTCATGAACTCTGGAAACAAAGATTTCTCCCAATAAACACTTTTTAAAAAAAAACACCCAAAATTTAAGTAAAAATAGAGAGTACAGTAGTCAAAAAATATATTTTGAGAGCTAGTCTTCTCTAGAAATTCTGAAATAAACCTTTCCACATCTCATCATTATTAGAAGGTATTGATTCAAACCTTTCTTGCAACACAAAAAGCTTCTATTTTTTTGAGAGAGAGAAAGTCACACAATTTTAACCCAGTAGTTACCCCTCTTCATTCTTAAGGGACTTGTCAGTGTTTTACAAGTCATTTGACTTGTCCTTTTTTGAATCTTTTTGACAGATGAGACATCTTTACCTGCATTTTGGTTAGACATTTATCTAGAAACTGTAATCTAGATAGATATAGAGGACCCAAAACAAACAGAGCAAAATAAACCATCTTTTAAACAGTAACATGCGACAACTACTTTATAATTAAATCACATTTCTTTTTGGAAATACTAATGTCATGCTTTGAATTCCTACAGCATAGGACTTCACAGAAGTTGTAGATTGTTACTACTGCCATTCCAGACTTCATGTCAGAAGTGGGAATAGCTTACACATGCTTTTGTTACTGAGAGGTTACAGACACTGGTATGTGACCAAAGAGGAAGGGAAAAGATACCACAAACCAGCTTGAACTCTTCATACAGTAATCTGAAGAAGTTACAGGTAGTGTATGTGATTCCTTCTGCAAATATTCTTGTACAACCTGTGTCTGGAAATGCTTTCCTTTTTTGCAGTCATTACCATCTTTACCACAGCAGTCCCCAGCTGTTGCACAGTTCTCACACTCTCTTTCCCTTATTTCACCATATGCTGCTTTTCTCTTTACAAGCAACAAATGCCTCCTCTTCTCTCTCACTTTATTCCCTGGGAAGATCAAGTTCTGCTTATGAGCACTTCTAAGTCTGTGCATTCCAAGGGATATGTCATTATAGTGGAGTTCCCTGAATATCCAGGTCTTATTACATGTAAATAAATTCAACAAGTAATCTGGGAGAGCAAAACCTGCAGACCTTACGTTTTTATGTTGGAAATGTAAACTTCTCACAGACTTTTAGGTTTTTTGTTCTACACTGGAAGCAATTTCAAGTTAAAAGAAGGGGTAAAAGTTCTTGGAGAACAGGGAAGTAACCAACTAGAATAAAAACTTTACTTTCAATTTTATTAGGTTTTTAAATGCCCGTGTATGACAGCCAAAGCAAGCAATTAAAGATCACTGCTCAAATTATATACTGTTACTGAGGACCTTCTACAATAAAATTATAAAGAAAAAGAAACATCACATGAGCTGTAATAAATGTTTACATAGCAACAAAGTGCTTTTCCTGGTGATCACCAGAGAGTAAGCTGCCACCTGCTTGAGCCAAATGTGTGTCTTTCTTTCACTCCAAATACTGTTCAGGCACTTCAGAAAGTCATGTGAAGAACTGAAATACTCAACTCACCCTTAAGAGAGATTTACTTACTACTTTCAAAACCAAAGTTAATATAATGACTTTGCAGAACTGTGGACAAAACATTTTTCCAAAAATGTGACTTAAATGTTGATGCAGTAATATAGAGTCCCTTCCTCTTTCTACAGGAAACCAAACCAGAACACCAAATTACTGACACTGAAATGAAAAATTCTACTTCCGCATATATAATAAACATCAGGACATTTCTGCAGTTTGCTTATTTACAAAAGAGATGAGATGTACCGCCTGTATAGCATTTCTTTGATTTTCTGTTTCAAAGGAAAAAAACCCAAAGATACCTGATACTGAAGCATAATTAAAGAAGAGGTTTTTAAACCAGTATATATTAATACATCTCAAATATTAATTTAATTCAATTATTTTTGCACCTTTAACTTAAAAAGAAATAAACCTGCTCTTTCAGCTAGAAATTTATGTCACTCAAAATTACTAGACGACAGACTAGCTATTGAAATATTAAGTATGATTTTGTGGATTGGTGTTGATTTTTTCCCCCAAACTCTTTCTTTTCCTATATATAAAATACCTCTATTTCTGATAAGTATAAAAGTATTAGCCAATATGAAAACGGACGGACTTTTAAAGTAATCAACTGTAAACATGAAATATCAGTGAATTATTACACTCAAATTAAAAGAATATGAGGAACATGCCCAAAAGGCATAGGGTGTACAGTACCTCCAGTCTTAGTGGTACAACAATTTATTACTTTTCTGTATTTGTACCAAGATATACTGTTCCAAGCAAGTCCTTTAATTAAATTTCTATCTCCCTTCCTAATAACCTTCAAAGGCATGCCAAGTACTCACCTTATACGCATCCACCACAGGGGATGTGTACCAAAAGCAAGATTCCCAATACATTTTCAGGGAGAGGCAAAGCGTGCACATGTACGTCTTTGTTGCAGAACGGTGACCTTGCGTTTACATGTTACTTTGGAAGGCAGATAACTATGAGCAGTCAAATGAAACATAAACAACCTTGACAGGTTGTCCATGGCTTCAGGTTAAGCCAAAGCAAAAATGCTGAACGTGGCATGATTTTAAACAATGGTTTCCCTCTAAGCATGTGAAAAAGTGAATCTCACGGAAGATTTGCAAATCAAGGCTACGTTATGTGCTTGAAACGAAAGTCGGAGGCGGATGAGGTGTGTACCATGCAGGGCTCCACAACAGGACCTTCAAACCCCGGGGTTTCTGAACTGGTTTGCACCTCCCGTTCCGCGCCCCGGCGAGGACCGGCTGCCCCCGGGCTGGCAAAAGGCGAAGAGCCGCTAAACGCGCACACTGAACCACTTTTTAATCCTTTTTAAAGAAGGCACAAGCCGGCGTGTCCCGCGGCCCCCGCCGAGCTCTGCCCGGCAGCATCGCACCGCCTGCTCCCTGCCCCGACAGGGCGGGAGAGGCCCCGAGAGGCGGCAGCCAGCTGGGCTGGGGCTGTGGAGAGGCTCCCTGCGGTCAGAAACTCTCCCGGCCGCTGTTTCCAGGTGTGGGGCCGCGAGGCCGCCCGCGGGCGGGGCGGGCGCTGTCCCGGGGCTCCGCTGAGGAGAACCGAAAGTGAAGGGAAGTCGTGGGGCGGTGGGAGATCCCCGAGGCCGCGGGAGGCGGCAGCGCCGCTGCCTGGAGGGGAGAAACACGTGTGAGTGCTCGTGTGTGCGTCCCCCAGGTCCTCGGTCACGGTCCGTGCCTTCAGGGCGCCGCCACCGAGCCCGTCCGGGCGCTGCCGCCCCGCCGCTGATGCTGCGGGCAGGGCCGTCGCCGGCGATGCTGTGCGGCATGCCCGGCGTGGCTTTCGTCCCCGCTTTGCTCGTCAGCTGGTCCTCGGCCGCCTTCATCATCTCCTATGCGATCGCCGTGCTGGAGGGGCACGTGGAGCCCCTCGTCCCTTACATCAGGTAAGGCGAGGGCGAGGTGGGAGCGCCCGAGGAGCGGGGAGAGTTGTGTGTATGTGTGTGTGTGTGTGTGTTTGGGGGTGTGTGTGTTTGGGTGTGTGTGTGTGTGAGACACACAGGCATCGGTTCCGAGGGGTTCCCAGTCGGGTGTGGGATCCCCGGAGGAGGAGAGGCAGTGGTGGCACGGCCTCCCCGTGGTGGAGGGGCACGCTGTGCCCTCCCAGCACCCATCACACCTGCAGGGCCCCCGGCCTCTCTGAGAGCCGCAGGACCCAAACGGTGGCAGACGCAGTGGAAAGGACCTGAAACCAGTTTTCTGCCGGAGCCAAGGTGTCCCGAAGGCCTGATCCTAGCAAAACTTTACGATCAAGTGATGGCAATGTAGTTTTGTTTGTATAACTCCAGAACTGGGCCAAAGTGCAGCAGATGATGGCAGGACTTGAAGCCCTGTGATGGTTTTTGCAGCACACTCATCCCCACAAACACGCATATTGAAAATTTCAGCATAGGACCAATCAGCATAAAAGACCACCCAAGAGGTGGCTGGCATCTCTTTTCTAAAACCTTACTCATTTAAGTGCAGTTCTGTATAAATCATTGCTTATGCATTACTTATGTTAACATTTAAATATAAACTATGAAATTGCTGGCATTTATCACTTAATAGATTAAAGGTTAGCCAGATATCCAAGAGTGTCTCTGATATGCAGAAGATCTAACCAAGATTTTGAAATACATCTTTCAAGATACATCTAGATCTCCTTCCTTGAAAGACTTTATGGACATTCATAATTTCAGAAGACTGCTAACCTGATGGGCACACATAAGCAAATTTGATTGAAAATTAGGGTTGATTGAAATCATAGGCAAGTGCAAATGACACACACCGTAGCCCACAAGAAAGCTGAGCTTCATTCAAATTGAGACACAGAAAGTTGGGCTACGTACTTACGTTAGCAAAACTTTTTAAGATTATCTGCACAAATCTCTACTCAGCTCTTGGAAGACCTCGCTCTTGTACTTGAACAAATACCCTACTGCTCATCCTTGATTACATACAGTTTTACTGATACAAAAGCGCTTGTGATTAGTGTAATTTATCCATTAGTAACCAAGGGGAAAAAACCCATTTGATAAAACTGTCCATTCTCTGTATGTGGTATGTGCTCAGAAGGATTTTGAGGTCCTGTAGTAAGAAAGTTGACAAAACTATGTTTCTTATGTTAAACCATGTCATAGAATAAAATATATGAGACAGCAGGATGTGGTTTCTTCTGTATAATTGTGTTTGCAGTCAAGTTTTTGACAACCCATGTATCTTAATTGTGTCATTCTTTTTAAAGAGATAGACCAAACCTTTAAGTCACAGCTGCTTAACTCTGACGACCATATTGCAGCTGCCATAGTTACATCAATCTACTGGAATAGCTCACAGAAAGTAATCATTCTTATCCTTTAGCACGGAATCACAATAAATGTCAGTATGCCCCAAAAGAACCCGAACAAAACAAAGACTTAAGAGGCTGCATCAGTGACAGCCAGTCACATTTCAGGCCCTCTGCATTTCCTAGTAAAGTTCTTTAAAAGTTTTGTTTATTTTGCATCCATGTAGCACAACATTTGGACTAAGGATATACATTGGCTATTGTTGAAGAATCTGTAATGATTCTAAAGGCACATGGTCTTAGTGTAAGATCTTTGTAAAAGGTGCACTTGGGAGTAATATGATTTTTCCTTTTAAGTACTCAGGCCAATAGTCATACCATAGTTCATATTTTATTTTGCAGGTCATTGCTTTAGCCTAAGAATCTGAATCATGTGATTAAGAATGTGATTTAGTAAAGATTGGAATCATAAAAAAGAGGAAGAATGTTGCAACATAAAAGTTGTGCAATATCTTAAAATGAGCTTTAAAAATTAAATGGAGATAGTATGGGAAAATTCCAGTTACACAAAGGAGAAGAATATGGAGAAACTTTAGTTCAACATTTCTGTAAATCTTATATACCTTCCTCAAGTACCCTGTGTATGCCTTGAGGTAACTTATTAATTTTTATTTGTTTACCATATAACAGCTGTCACAGCGAGAGACCACACCTAAATTTGTCATTGAAACTGTGCTAATGTCTCATCAAATAAAGCCAATACATTTCTGGGTAGATAAAATGAACATGATTTTGTGTTTTCTAGCAGTTGATTCCTAAAATTAGGTTATGCCCAAACTAGTTCTGTTAGTATACTCAAGATCCAAACTAATTTGGATGTGCTGGGGTGGCTGTTTCGTGGTTTGAATTCTCAGTGAAAGTGTAAAGGGAATTTTCCTAAAGGTATTTGCTATCAGGTAGTACCTCTGGATCAATAAGAATCCCTGTAGAGAATAGAATTTACCTATTTTAAAAATTTGGGACTTAAGTCAGGAGAGAAATAGTTTATGATGGCTGTGTAGTAATTAGATGACGATGAGTCTTTTGACCCTAAAATATTTATTCCTTGTCTCCTTCACCTTCTTGTCTTTCCACCCTTCAGAATACTGTTTGGTTTTAGAATTCTATTGCATGAGATGGTGACACAAATATAGGGTTCCTCATCTTTTCAGTGGGGGCAGAGCTCACCTATGCCCCACCCAAAATAAGTGAGCACATTTTTGTTTCAAATTTGCCATTTTCTTTTTTTCTTTTTCATAATAAAAAAGGGATTGTCACCAATACTTTTTTTTTTCCTGATCTTTTTTTGCCATAGCAGCAGACCAGAAGTAAAATGAAAATGAACCTAAGTCTTCATTTAGCTTCAGGGA